AGGCCCATGCGCATGGGAAGGGGAAAACCCTAAGGGGGAGGGCCTCCACTTGACTTGGGAGGCACTCCTCCCCCCTTGGCCGCCGCCCCCTCCTCAGATTGGATCTGAGGGGGGCCGGCCCCCCTCTCCCTTGCCCCTATATATATGTGGGGGTGGGAGGGCAGCCGCACCAAAAGGTTCTGGCGCAGCCCTTCCCCTCTCCCAAGTACTCCTCCTCTCCCGCGGTGCTTGGCGAAGCCCTGCAGGATTGCCACGCTCCACCACCACCACCACGCCATTGTGCTGCTGCTGGATGGAGTCTTCCTCAACCTCTCCCTCTCTCCTTGCTGGATCAAGGCGTGGGAGACGTCACCGGGCTGTACGTGTGTTGAACGCGGAGGTGCTGTCCGTTCGGCACTAGGATCTCCGGTGATTTGGATCACGACGAGTACGACTCCTTCAACCCCGTTCTCTTGAACGCTTCCGCTTAGCGATCTACAAGGGTATGTAGATGCACTCTCCTTCCCCTCGTTGCTGGTTTCTCCATAGATAGATCTTGGTGACACGTAGGAAAATTTTGAATTTCTGCTACGTTCCCCAACAGACAGGTGTGGGTGGCGAAGGGTGACCCTGGCAGGCGAGGCAATACAGATGTGTTCATTCGCGACACGAGGCAGAAAACGGCCTCGGTGTTTGACCGCATCTCTGAAAACAACAAGAGTAGATCGGCGGACCCCGAATCCCGGGTCCGCCAGGAGCAATGAATGTGCTTGCCTGGAACTGTCGAGGCTTGGGGTTGGACTCGACAGTTGGCGAACTTCGCGACCTGATTAGGTCCCACAACCCAGCGGTGGTCTTCTTAAGTGAAACAAAGAAGAGTCCAAAAGCGATGGACAAGCTGAAGTAGAGTATGGGCTTTAGGAGTGGAGTGGCTGTCAGTTGTGTGGGCAGAAGCGGTGGACTTGCGTTGTGGTGGAGAGAACATGTACATGTGACAATTAGGCCTTGGTGCCAATACTTCCTGGATGCTGTTGTAGTGTTGAAGGGGAAAACCTTTAGGATCACTGGATTCTATGGGGAACCCGACACTGAGAAAAGAAAGAAGTCGTGGGATGCCTTACGCTTTTTACGGAGTCAGGACAATCTGCCCTAGCTTTGTGTAGGCGACTTCAACGAAGCCATGTTCCAATTTGACCAACAAGGGGGCCAGCTACGGAGCTTTACATAGATGGAAGCTTTCAGAGATTGTCTGGCAGAGTGTGGTTTGGCCGATTTGGGATTCTCGGGTTATAGATACACGTGGGATAACAGGAGAGATGGTGATGCTAACGTGCAGGTCCAGCTTGATCGTGCAACATGCACCGACACTTTTCTGGAGATGTTTCCGGAGACAAATGTTGAGAACCTTATTACAGAAGAGTCCGATCACTTGGCCCTCCTTGTGCATGTGCTGGAGACGGCTCCAACACAACGGCAGAAGGGGGTTTTTGCTTTCAGGTTTGAGGAGGCTTGGACACAACACGATGATTATGAGCGCATGGTCTCGGCTGCATGGGCTGAGGCGTCTAGTGGTGCATCTGGGATTGCTGCGGTATGGGATAAAATTCATCAAGTATCGGGGGATATGCAAAGGTGGAGTAGGGTTGTATTTGGGTCAATTTGGAAACAAATTACTAAGCTCAAGGCAAAGCTACACGAGGCAAAACGGAGGGCTTTGGGGTCGGGATCCTCACTGGAGGTTCGCGAACTAGAAAGCCAGCTCAAAGAAATCTATGCCCGGGAGGAGGTTTACTACAGACAACGATCGCGTGTAGACTGGCTGAGGGCAGGCGACCAAAACACAAAATACTTCCAGGGACGGGCCTCGCACAGAAAGAGGAAGAATACGGTTCGGGCTTTAAAGAGGGAGGATGGCTCGCGGTGTATGGTAGATGAAGAGATGAGAGACATGGCAGCGGCTTTCTACGAGTCTCTCTTCACTTCGGAAGGAGCGGCCGGTGTAAACGAGTTTTTGGAGAACATTCAGCCCGCGGTGACGGATGAGATGAATAGCAAGCTCACGGCTAGCGTTACAGATGAGGAAGTTGAAGTTGCGCTTTTTCAGATGGGACCGACGAAGGCCCCGGGGCCAGATGGCCTGCCGGCGTTATTTTATCAGCGGCACTGGCCGTTGGTGAAAGGAGATGTGTGTCGTGCGGTCCAAGATTTTCTAAGGGGTGTAGCAGCCCCGGATTCGTTTAACGCGACTATGATAGTGATGATTCCGAAGGTCAATTCACCGGAGTTGCTTTCACAGTTTCGCCCCATCAGTTTGTGTAACGTCCTATATAAACTGGCTGCCAAGGTACTTGCTAATAGGCTAAAGGTTTTCCTTCCGGTTCTAATCTCAGAGGAACAAAGTGCGTTTGTACCCGGACGGATTATTACGGATAATGCGATAGTAGCCTATGAGTGTGTGCATGCAATAAGAACCAGGAAACGGAAAAAACCTTTATGTGCAGTAAAGTTGGATATGACAAAGGCTTACGGTAGAGTTGAATGGATGTTTCTGGAACAAATGTTGGCTAAATATGGTTTTGCGGAAGGGTGGATCAGGATGGTGATGAGATGTGTGACTTCTGCACGTTTTACTATGAAGCTAAATGGAGGACTCTCTAGGGGTTTCGTGCCATCACGGGGGCTCAGGCAGGGGGATCAACTCTCCCCATACTTATTTCTATTCTGTGTTGAGGGTTTCTCAGCGATGTTGAAGAAGGCACAAGCAGAGGGCAGCATCAAGGGTGTAGGATTTGGGAGCACTGGCCCCCAAGTCACTCACCTCCTATTTGCAGATGACAGCATTGTGTTCTTACAAGGTACGCCGGAAAATGTCCATGTGCTTAAGAACATCTTGGTTAGGTACGAAGCTGCTTCGGGTCAAAAAATAAACCTCCAAAAATTGTCAATATTCTTCGGGAAAGGTTGTGGACAGCAACAAAAAGATGTTCTCAAGCAAGTGGTTGGCATTGAACAAGAAGCTCTTAGTGAGAGATACTTGGGCCTGCCAACGGTAGTGGGGAGATCCAAGGATGGCACTTTTGCATGTGACGGAATGCTCAAAAGGAAAAGTAACGGGTTGGAAGGGACAAGGGTTGTCCAAGAAGGCTAGGGAAGTACTGATTAAATCTGTTTTGCAAGCCACACCTACTTTCACAATGTGTTGTTTTCACCTCTCGAAGAAGATGTGCCGGAACCTGTCTTCAATCTCCTCAAAATTCTGGTGGGGTGCAACAAATGGTGAGAGGAAAGTGCATTGGATTGCATGGGACAAGATGTGCCAATCAAAACGGACTGGGGGTATGGGTTTTCGAGATCCGGAGGCTTTCAACCAAGCCTTACTTGCAAAACAGGCATGGAGACTCCTGCAGGCACCGATGTCTTTATGTGCCAGAATTCTTAGAGCTCGATACTTCAGCGGGAGTTCCATTATGAGCGCTACATGCCCGTCGGGCGGATCCTATACCTTCAGGAGTATCTTGCATGGGAGAGACCTGCTCCGGGAGGGAGTAATATGGCGCATAGGTGATGGTTCGACGGTGAACATTCACCACGACCCATGGATCCCGCGACAAGGGAGTTTGCAGCCACTGGGCGCAGTCTTCATACCGGGTGTGCAGAAGGTGGCCGACTTGCTGAACAGTTCGGGTGAAACTTGGGACGACACAAGGCTCCAAGCTATGTTTTCTGAGGATGATGCGAACGACATTAAACAGATAGATGTGGGAGGGCCGGGGTCTCAGGATTACATGGCATGGAATCATACGAAAAACGGTATATTCACTGTTAAGTCAGCCTACCATCTGAGAATGTCTTTGAATGCTGCGAAGAGGAACCAGCCGGGACCCTCTTCGGCTGCTCTTACACATCGAGGCTGGTTGTCTTTGTGGGATACATCGGCTCCGGGGAAAGCAATAATTCATATGTGGAGGCTGATGAAGAATGGTCTGGCTACAGGAGCCGAACTGCTACAACGCCGGATAAAGGCCGGTGTCTTCTGTGTTGCTTGTGGACGAGAAGAGACTAGCTACCATCGATTCTGGGGTTGCCCGCATGCTGTGTGCTTCTGGAAGCAACTTGACTCGGAGTTGGGAGTATTGGTGGCCAAACCACCATGCAATATCGATTCCCAGAGCAAGTTGGCGAACTGGCTACTGGAGTGGTTCGCACAAGCCCCGGCTCATGAGAAGGTTGTTATGGTTCAAGCCGTGTATGGCCTGTGGCTAGCGCGGAATGATGCGACGCGGAAGATTACTGCAGCACATGAAATATCAATTACTGTTGCGGCACTAGTCAAAGAGTGGGAAGAGGTACACAGAAAGGAAGTGGAGCCAAAACAGCCAAAAGAAAGGGGCAAGTGGGAACCTCCCGATACGGGCTGGATCAAAGCCAATACGGACGGTGCGATGGCGAAACACATGGGGAGAGGAGGCATTGGTGTCATCCTGCGTGATCATGCCGGGGCGTTCCGAGCTGCCTCATGTCATGTTTTGGGGACGGCAACCGACCCGGAGATGGTGGAACTAGTGGCTTGCAAGAAGGCGATCGAACTAGCGAGAAGAGTTGGGGTTGTCAAACTCCATCTGGAAAGTGATTCAGCAGGAGTAGTGGCCATGCTCAATAACCAGGAGAAGAACCTCTCTGCCGTGGGGCCAATCGCCGAGGACGTCAAGTCGAGACTGAAGGAATTTGATGAGTTTAGAGTATCATGGGTGAGCCGTAGTGCGAATGCCGCCGCTGATAGGTTAGCTAAGGTGGGATTGGGAGATGAGCTCAACTCGGTGTGGCTCTCATCACCGCCAGACTGTATTTTGCATATTGTTTCGGACGAGATTCCAACTTTTTCTTAAGTTAATAAAGCGGCGAATGATTTACACTCAAAAAAAAAGATAAAGTGAACGTGCATGCAGCAAATTAAATTAAATTAAACCCATTCCGAGCATGCATGCGCGCCGCGCGCGTACGTGCACCTTCTTCCAAAGGAATTATCTGCAGCCGCCGGCGGCGAAGCCGATCCTGTTGCTCTTGACGTCGTAGACGACGCTGAACGTCTGCTGCTGGGTGTTGCCGATGATGGCGGCGCTCCTCGCGGGCGCGAACGCGAGGCACGTCGTGGAGCTGTCCACGTCGACGAGCAGGTTCTGCGCCGACAGCTTGAGCGCCGCGCCGCCGGAGAAGCCCATGCTGACCGCCGGGACGCGCAGGCTCGACGCCTGTCCCACGAAGCACGTGTCGAGGATGGAGTAGGCGTCCGCGCGCTTGGTCCCCTTCATGGCCCCCGCCACCGCCTTGCTGAGGGAGTCGTAGACGGTGGTGGGCAGGCGCGTGATGACCGTGCCGGAGTCGATGATGGTGGGCAGGCTGGAGTACTCGGAGGACGAGATGGCCAGCGGCTTCCCGGCGACGGTCATCCCGGAGAGCTTGATGAAGTAGAGCGAGTCGTCCAGCGTGCTGGACACCATGGGCGTGTAGGAGTACTGACCCGGGTTGTAGGAGCCGATGGAGAGGTAGCCGGAGGAGGAGGATGACGGGAGGCAGTAGGAGAAGGAGTAGCCGAGGGTGGGCGCGAGCTGGTAGAGCAGCGAGAGCTTGTTGCGGGCCAGGCCCATGAGGCCGGCGGAGCGGCCGAAGAGGCCCTCGTTGTCCTGCCCGCACCCGTAGTAGAAGTTGGGCACGCTGTTGGAGCCGAAGGAGACGGTGTCCTTGCTGAGGTAGCCGACGGAGAAGGAGCTGTCGCCGTAGCTGGCCTGGTAGATGCAGACGTCGGAGGAGGAGCAGGCCGCCGGGTTGAGCGTGGCGGTGGAGAGGTCGTTGCACTGCGGCGTGGAGCAGGAGACGGCGGCGTAGGAGCTGGACGTCTTGGGGTCGAACACCGGGCCGGACTGGCGGTGGCACGACACCCGGCAGGGGGAGCACTGGAGCCAGGTGAGGGAGGAGCCGGTGTCGACCACCATGATGTACGGTTTGGCCGGTGTGCCGAGGCCCATGCGGGTCACGTAGTTGCCCACGCCGTACGACGTGCCCGGCGTGAGCGGCACGGACGCGAGGGAGGCCGCGACGCCGTCGACTTTGTCGTTCGCCCGGTAGAGCGAGGCCACCGTGACCGTGGGGCGCGCCGTGGACGACGACGGCGCCTTGGCGAGGCGCGCGGCGAGGGACGCGATGCGGGCGTCGTCGTGGGTGAGCACCGCGGAGAAGGGGAGGTCCGATGGGACCGACACCGGCGAGCAGGGGCCCCGCGAGTGGTGCAGCGGGAGGTGCATGGCGGTGCTGTTCAGGTGCTCGAAATCTGCAGCTGTCGAGCAGCACACAGTCAGTCAGTACTTCAAAGTTACCGCAACTTATTTAACCCTGACAGTATTCACTATTGGTACAGTACGAATTAGTTTGCCGCTGAGAAGCAAGATCTCAAGACCGTTCGCACGTTCAGTGTCCATCGTCGGCAACCACTGGACCTACCGCACCACCGGGCAGGCAGCTCGACCAATCGTACGTATCGTTAGCAGTCTTGTGATCCGAGACTGAGAGTGATCGATGTCCTAGGATAATGTATCGACGCCTCGCCCGACATGGCAGCCGAGCAGTGCCACGTACTACCACCAGTGGCACTGTGGCAGTGTGGCTACTGAGCACATGTCATATGTCATCAGATTTGGAGGTGTCTGTCAGGGTTTCAGAGTAAAGAAACCTGACACCAGATTATTCCTGTCCGTCATTTTCCTTTCCCGATGGGCCTCCGAGTTTGGTTCATTCACATGCAAGGGTGGTTTGGTTGTATGCAAGTGGCGATCATGTCGATGAGAAGATAAAGGTTTTTGCGCACGAGAATGGCAGCTCTCATGATTGCCTTCCGGGGCGCATCAACTGGCCATAACCGCATTTAATCGCGCCCGATATGGTGTTAGTGGTAGTAGGTGGCAGTGGCAGAGAGGCTACTGCAACATGTGACTTGTGAGAGCATAAAGCGAGTCAAAAACGGCATATAGTGTGGAAAATGTAGTGGTAGCACCATGTTTATTTTTACTCTTTGGGAATCAATACTGTCACATATATGTTCACATGACATGTGGGGTGGGACTTGCACATTTCATCTAGAGTTGCCTATCTCAACATTCCTACACAAATTTTGCATCATTGCATACATGCATGCAGCGTATATACCAGCTATATACAGTCACCTAGAGTACGTATTATTTTGGAATCCTTGTTCGCAGACACTGAAATGTGAGTTCTTTGTCACGTTGAAAAGTCCAACAGGAATGAGCACACGTCGGCAAGCAAGTGAGCCGTACGCTTTTGGTTGGCAGCTAGCTAGGCACAGTTAACAACAGTGCTCGCCATGATATAATGCATGATTGGGGTGGTTGCCATGATTAATTAGGGGCCACCAGTCAGTTCAACACGCCTTGCACGACTTTAGTGCCTTAAGCACGCAGTACTACCATAACATGCCATGCCAGTACAGGATAAGTACCATATATTATTATTATTATTCAGGCAAAAGATGAAAGGTGACCTTTAGGAACACCCTAATAAGATGAGATATTTTTCTCAGGGAGAACTAGCGCCAAGACTGTACACCCGGAGTAACACTACTGCATTAATTGGATGATTTGCGGACGGACAACAACCGCTCTGATAATCAGACAAGCTAAGCTAAGCTAAGCTGGTGTTCAGGATGGACCTACAGCCCCAGCCAGATATGGCTACACGCACGCGAATCATTCCACGCTCTAACATTTCCGGCGTGGGTACCTGCCGAGCCACAAAAGCTGAAGCAGAATTGACGTCCATCGACCAGACACCACTGATAACGTAGTAACCTCCGTGTGTGTGTGGGTATACATCCTGGCCGGCGACACGCGCCTGCTGCCCGCCCATGCATTTCGGCGGCCATCCCGGCGTGTCGCGCTAGATACGGTGGTTGGCGGTGGGGTGGGGCGCGTACGGGGCAATTGATGGGCCGATGGATGGACGTCACGGGCGGCCGAAGTACCATCGATCGGCCACTAACTCACTGCCCATCAATTCCGTATCGGCGTCGATCGGGGCCATGTGATATGATCGATCCATGGGCCGGAAGAAAGGAGCGGCGTTAATTAAGCGGCGATTAGCGGGGCATGATTGGCGCAAAGCTGCTGTGATGAGGCGCCGATTGGCCGTGGACGAATACGTGCGCCTAACCGAGGCGCTTTCCGTCCTGGCGGTGCCATGGAATTCCGGCGGAAAGTATGCGTAATCTACCGGTCATTATGCACCTAACAACATGGTGGTTATACAAGTACTATTATTTGCTTCCTGGTGGAGAAAAGAATTGACAAAAGGGAGGAAGGGGCTACTGGGAGGAGATTCTGTCTGGATTGGCCTTTTGAAGTTTTGGCTCCGGCCATGGCTGTCGACTCTCACACAGTTACTATCCTTGACAGTTACAGGCGCTTTACGCACTGCGGGTTGGAAAGTATTTTTACAGCGTGATGCGTACGGTGAATCTGGCCTGTCTCAGCCTACATGTGTGCCACAGTGTTACTTCGATTCAGTTCCAGGAGTCAGGACAGCAGTGCTTCTACCTTCTGGCTGGCCACTTCAGCAAGGAAACATCGTCAGATTAACCCATCCTAACAATTGTTCTACGCCCTTGTAAATTTTCGAATTCTCCGCTCAAGCTATTTATAACTCATACCCTTTTCTGTTACTACTGAACAATCTAATCTAATACCATGTCAAGTCATCATGTACTGCTGTTTTTAGTAAGTCAGCAAAACAGTTGTCTTTGATCCGGTTGCATAAGCAAGACACAACCAACGGCAAAGCAATTATGCACACGACACAAGAACACTATCCAAGAAATCTAGCCAGTCCAGGAGGAAGGAAGGAAAGAAGGAGGGAATTATATATATACCTTGCACTTGCGAGGAGCAGGCGTCAGCGACGTCCCTGATCGGAGTCGCCGCGGCGAAGAGCAGGGAGAAGGCGGCGACGAGCACGGGCAGCGACGCCGGCGCCATCTCGCCTGAACTGAAACCTTCTTCCCACCCTCTCTCCTCCCCTTCTTCCTTTGCGGTGGCTGGCTCAGTGCAGGCTATGGGTGGGTAGATAGCACCAAGCTCAGCACCCGTGTGCCCTTTTATAGAGTTTCCGCGCCGCATGGGCGCGCGCCCGGGAGTCCCACGCACGGGTAGCTGTCAGCAGCTTTGAACCATCTTTCTTTTCGAGGGTACACCAATGGCGTACCATGGCTTTATAGAAAAAAGAAAGTATTTACAAAAGATTACACGGTCGGTTGAGAGCACACAATGTCCCACAACCAAACCCTTCATTCATCCAAACTCTACCCTACTACTCACACCACATTGATACTCCCGTGGCTCCCGCTCTAGACCACAAGGCCAACTCTTGCCAAATCAAGTCGACCGTACCACCTTCATTCCTAATGTCATTACGCCCAAAGACCCTTCCATTGCGTTGTTTCCAGAGATTCCAGCAGATCGATATGACCACCGAGTCAAAGCCCCTCCTTAGCCTTTTCGGGATATGCTTCCTCGCATCCTCCCACCAATCATCTACGGTGGAATGGCGTGTCGGGCAAAGATCTGTATTGATGTTCATTTTGAGAAAGCAGCTATGCCACACCTGCCTCGCAAACACACACTGCATCGTGATATGATCAACCGTATCCTCCTCCTGCTCGCAAAGGTAGCATGGCGATCTTTGGTCCTGTAACCCATGACGAAACCGTCGGTCAACCGTCCAGAGTCTGTATTGCACCGCTAGCCACATGAAAAGTTTGCACACAAGCGGTGCCCAACACTTCCATATGCCAGCATAGGTGTCAGGACCCCGACTCGATGCCACATAGGTCTAGCATGTAACACCTCATATCACTTTGCGGCCTCACACACGGTATTCCCACGGGTGTCGTCTTACTTTTGCCCGGGACCGTTTGCGGCTTTTGGCACACGTATATGATAGTGTCGCTAGCATCCATATGATAAGAAGCCCGGGCTGACATGGCTAGTCGTAAACCCAAAGTGGCACAGACTTACAGGGACAGGCATCCATGACCCAGCAACGAACGTGTCAGTCATCAGCAAGTGGGTCCGGGCTGTAGCACTGGGCTAACAGGACTCTGGTAAACCGGGCTGTAGCGGGCTAACAGGACTCCGGTACTCAATGCGTGACATTTCCCCGAAGGGACAGACACAAGAACGAAGAAGGACACATGCCGGCCAGCCTAAGTGTTCCGGAGCAGTAGCAAGCTACCATGGCTCAGTGGTAACACTAGGAGACATTTCCCGGTAAGAGAGGCTACTAAAGATAAACAACCTGATAGTCAGATCCCACACATACCAAGCATTTCAATCATACACACAATATGCTCGATATGTGCAAATACAACAAGGCATCACAACATGACTCTACGACACAAGTACTTTATTTAAGGCTCATAGAGCCATACATAACATACACATAGGTACGGGTCACACGACCCAGCATTCAAGTCATACAGTCATACAAACCAGCAGCGGAAGTAACTTGTCTGAGTACAGACAACTAGTAAAATAAAAGAGGCTTGGAAAGCCTAGCTATACTACGTGGTCCTTCACAAGCTCAGGATCACCGCCTGGACCTTAGCCTACTCATTGATGTCAACGTCTACGAAGAACCCATCAGAAGGGGTTGCAGCGTCTTCTGTAAAAGTGTAAATTGTAGCAACATGAGTACAAAGGTACTCAGCAAGACTTACATCAGATCCTACATACATGCACATTATCAAGAAGGGTTGGTGGAGTTATTGCAGCAAGCCAGCTTTGACTCTTGGCTAGGCTATCCTACGAGACTTCAACTTAGAATGGTTTTGCGCACACGAGTCCACTACTCACCACTTCAATACACTACCAAGGATCCACCTCCGTCTTCCTACGGAAGAGCCATCCTCGGCACTCACACTTATCTTGAGGCTTTTAGTAGTTTCCATTTACTTGTCTATGAACTGTATAGGCAACCAAGTAGTCCTTTACCGCGGACGCAGCTATTCGAATAGATCATGTTAACCCTGCAGGGGTGTATTTCTTCATACATGTTTCCACCACTTAGCGTTTGCACACGACATGTGCTCGGCAGACTTCAAGCAAAAGCCGACGTGGGTGTAGACCACGACCTACCTAAACACCTAAGTCTCTAGTCCAGGTTTATCGCCTATTCGGGTTCCATCCATGAGGAGATCCGGCCGAGGTTTCGCTCACAGTCCCAAATGATGTGAACAGGGTTCCGAGACACCTAACGGGTACCCGACATACCCGGCCACGTACCTACCGCATCACAACCCACCCCTATGGTCAGCGCTGTCCACGGCCTCCAGTAGGCTACAAACACCAGAAACTACTTGCAACTCCTGGACAGAGGACTAGGGTGAATAAGAAGTCGAGCGGGGTCATATTTCAGGGCCCAATGCATGGTAGTAGCTGTATCTTAAATCACACATACAGATCTCAGTGCTTAAGGTCGGCTTCAATGAAACAACCCACCATGTACTCCTACATGGCCTCTCATCGATACCTTTACCAAATCGTGTTCACCACACCACTCTCATTACCGACATAATCATTTCACTCTAGCCCATCACCCAGATGAACCAGACCTGACACGACTCTAAGCATAGCAGGCATAGCAAGGTAGGAACAACACATACATATGGCTCAATCAACTCCTACACATGCTAGTGGGTTTCATCTAGTTACTGTGGCAATGACAGGTCATGCAGAGGAAATGGGTTCAACTACCGTAGCACACAGCAGTTTGAAACGCGTTGTCTTAATGCAGTAAAAGAGAGCAGGAGCGAGAGTATGGGATTGTATCGATATGATCAAATGGTTGGTTGCTTGCCTGATGGTTTGATCACTGATATGGTTCTTCGCTAGGGTAATCACGGTACTCCTCGAAGGCAGAACCTGCCGCAAAGAACACCGATACACAGCCATCACCAAACAATGTGCGACAATATGATGCATGCATGGAACATGGCAGTATGAGTGTGTTGGGCTAATGCAACTAAGACCAGAAGGGTTTGAACCAATTTGAACCAAAGATTCAAATTTCAAACTCATACATGGCCCTTTAAAGTATTTTATCTTGTTCTGCATTAAACATCAAGTTAACTTGTTTAATCATGCATGAAAACAGTACAGATGGATAGATTGGATTTTTCTGATCATTTTTCATATATAACTTGTCCGATTTGGAGTTACAGATTAAAAGTTATGAATTTTTGAAGTTTAAACTATATTCTGGAATTTCCTATATTAGAATAAATCCAGAAATTAATTTATTGCGTCAGAATGACGTCAGGGTCAACGGAGATGTCCAGGTCAAACCTGACTGTGGGTCCAGGGTGTCAGGGTAATTAGTTTAGTTAAAGTTTAATTAAAACTAAACCTATTTAGTTAACAGGGCTGGGCCCCACCTGTCATTGACTCATCGGAGTCAACCAGGGCCCACCCGCGGTCAAAGCCAGGTCGGATGCACCGGCGTTTAGCCGCCGGCGAGCCCGACGCGGCGGTGGAAGTAGTTTTGGCCGTTCTGGCAACCAAACGAGTCGCGGAGGCCATCGGAGTGGAGCTGAGGAGGAGCCGCAGCTCTTGGTGGAGTCCGTTGGGGTCGGGGTGGCCGGAGTTGGCGCCGGCGGCGACTTTGGCGGCCACCGGAGTTCGGGTGAAGGCGAACTTGATGCTAGAGGGGTCGGTGAGGTGCGGGGAGTAGCTGGTTAGGTGCTACGTGACGTGGTGAGCATGATGGACACCAAGTTGTGGCCGGAGGGTGACCGGGAGCACGTCGGCGACGAGCTCCGTGGCGGTGGGTGCGGTTGAGCTCCGGGAGGTCACTGCATAGCTCGGGGGCAAGAAAAGAAGGGAGGGGAAAATGGCTAAGCTCACAGGGAGTTCGACGAAACACTTGGTGCGGCCGGGGACGGGCCGGAGCGACGACGGCGTTGAAGGGGATCTCCGGCGACGGCGGTTCGGTCGAGGTCGATGCGGTGGGCTCGGGCCTTGCGAGCGCTCGGGGCTCGGCTTGCTCGAAGGAGAGGAGGGTGGCGGAGCTCCTGGACACGGCGGCACGGTGTGGGGTTGACGGAGGGCGTGGCTACGGCGAGGGGGTGGCGGCGATGGCGTCGGCCATGGCGGGGAAACGCGAGAGAGAGGAGTTGGGGGAGAATGGAGGTGTCCTGGGGGTTCACGGCTCGACGTGGAGTTCATCCATCCAGCAACGAGGCGAGGAGGTGAAGCAAGGCGACGGCCAGCTGCGTGGCGCACGCTGCGGCCGCCGTCGGGCACCTACCTGCCTGCCTGGCCGGCAAGCAGCTCGCTGGCGCGGCGCTGGGCTGGGTCGGCAGGTGGGCCGGGTGTTGGGCGCCAGGTAAGTTTTCTGTTATTCCCTGTTTTCTGTTTTTTTAATTCCTCTGCAACTTTGTTGAATTATTAAAAATACTTAGGAAACTCCTAAAATCACCAAACTACTCCTGGTCCATAGTTGGATTATTTCCAACATGAAACATTTTAGTTTGGAGATATTTGAGCATTTGAAATATTTTATATAATTTTAAATGCCCAAATTCAAATATCTATGATTTAATTCAAAGACCCTAAGATGGCCTAGGAAAATGTGCATCACTTCTGGCAGAGGTTATGAACCAAGACAAAAATGATGGGCATTTTAGAAGGGCATTTCAGGTTCATTGAAAAAGTTTTTAGTAAACCCTAGTTGGTTTCAGAGGGGGCTGGGGGTTCTGTCATCCCCATTTCAGGTTTCTGATGAAAGAATAGACATGATGCAACACTCTAATGCATGAACTAGCTAGGGTGTGACAACTCACCCCCACTCAAAAGAATCTCGTCCCGAGATTTGGGTTCCTTCGGAAAGAGGGCGGGATACTCGAGTCGAAGACGATCCTCCCTTTCCCATGTTGCTTCATCCTCAGAATGGTGCGACCATTGAACTTTGAGAAACTTGATATTATGATGTCGAGTGGTACGCTCGGCCTGATCGATGATACGAATGGGGTACTCTTGATACGTGAGATTATCTTGGAGATCAAGCGTTTCGTGGTCCACTCCACGGATAGGATCCAAGAAGCAACGCCTGAGTTGAGAAA